CAAAACAGACCCTTGCGGAACCCCACTTGTTATGCTTTTCCAGCAGGATTGTGAACCATTAATAATTATTAACTGCTCTCTGAGTATGGTTATCTATCCAGTTATGCACCCACCTTATAGTAGCCCCATCTAAGTTGTATTTACCTAGTTTATTGATAAGAATATCATGCGAGACTGTATCAAACGCCTTACTAATGTCTAGGTATACCACATCCACCACTTCTCCTTTATCCACAAGACTCGTTATCCTATTAAAAAAGCTATCAGATTGGTTTGACACGATTTGTTCTTTACAAATCCATGTTGACTATTCCCTATCATCTTGCCACCTTCCAAGTGTTTACAGATGATTTCCTTAATTACTTGCTCCATTATCTTCCGTGGCACAGAAGTTAAACTAACTGGTCTGTAGTTTCCTGGGTTGTTTTTATTTCCCTTTTTATAGATGGGCACTATATTTGCCCTTTTCCAGTCCTCTGGAATCTCTCCTGTCTCCCATGATTTTCCAAAGATGATAACTTAGAGGCTCAGATACCTCCTCTATCAGCTCCTTGAGTATTCTAGGATGCATTTAATCAGGCCCTGGTGAGTTGCAGGCATCTAACTTTTCTAGGTGATTTTTAACTTGTTCTTTTTTTATTTTACCTTCTAAAACTACCTCCTTCCCACTAGCATTCACTATGTTAGGCATTCCTTCAGACTTCTCGGTGAAGACTGAAACAAAGAAGTCATTAAGCATCTCTGCCATTTCCAAGTTTCCTGTTACTGTTTCTCCCTCCTCACTGACCAGTGGGCCTACCCTGTCCTTGATCTTCCTCTTGCTTCTAATGTATTTATAAAAAGACTTCTTGTTTCCCTTTATTCCGGTAGCTAGTTTGAGATCATTTTGTGCCTTTGCCTTTCTAATCTTGCCCTGCATTCCTGTGCTGTTTGCCTATATTCATCCTTTGTAATTTGTCCTACTTTCCATTTTTTATATGACTCCTTTTTTATTTTTAGATCATGTAAGATCTCGTGGTTGAGCCAAAGCAGTCTTTTGCCATAATTTCTATCTTTCCGACACATCGGAATAGCTTGCTTTTGGGCCCTTAACAATGCCCATTTGAATGTGTATATTCTTCCATCTAAGAATGCTGAAATGTGAAGAGGTCCATCAAATAGGCACATATAACATTTCATAGGACATGTCCACACTAGAATCATAGAATACTAGGACTGGAAGGAACCTCGAGAGAACCTTTTGTCCATATAATAGTGTCAGTGAGGGGTGTGTTTGGGTCTTTTTTTTAACATGTTATATCAGCAAAAGCTTTAGTGTAGGTTAGGGATGTTAAATTTAGATTTCCATTGACTATTCTATTAGTCTATAAGAGGCCTGTCAGGCTCTTGCTACAGTTCAAAAGTGAAAGCCGCACAGGGACTGGCCCCGTGCTCCCTGCAATGCCTCAGCCATTGAAATGTACAAGAGCCCCAGTGGGACTCTTATACATTTCAAAAGGAAGCCCTGCAGCATGCGCAGGACAATCCCCCACTGGGGCTCTTGTACATTTCAAAAGCAGAATCTCAGCAGAAGTGGCGCAAGTGGAGTCTGCTTCAGTCCCTGCTCACACTGTTTCCTGCTGTGCCTCAGCCTTCCCTGCTTCCCACAGAGACAGTGCTGGTGGAACCAGCTTTTAAGCTGGTTCCCCCCACCTCTGACACTTTGCTGTCTCTCTCTGATAGAGGTAGCGGGGGGGGGGGGGGAAAGCAACTAGTCACATCACTAGCTGACTATCCAATAAGCTGACATCCATAGTATAGGTACCATTATACTCACCAATAGATGCTTCTGCCACTATAGCTTATTCTGTTAGGGAACTAGTATAAGCTATTCAAGCAAAAGTACATTTCTACTGGTAGAGACTGTATCTACATTAGCTAAAGCAACCAGTTTTTTCTAGCTTAGACCCAGGCTATGTCTAACCCCGTGGTCACCAACCCGTCGATCGCGAGGCCTCGACCAGTCGATCGCAAGGCATTCGGATGCTTCTGCCACTATAGCTTATTCTGTTAGGGAACTAGTATAAGCTATTCAAGCAAAAGTACATTTCTACTGGTAGAGACTGTATCTACATTAGCTAAAGCAACCAGTTTTTTCTAGCTTAGACCCAGGCTATGTCTAACCCCGTGGTCACCAACCCGTCGATCGCGAGGCCTCGACCAGTCGATCGCAAGGCATTCGGGCAACCCCGCCCTCCATTTTCCCCCCCACCCCCAAGAAGCCCCCCTACCTACCTCTAGTGTAGTGCCTGCTTCCCGCCGGGTGGACGGAAGTCCTCTCTGAAGGCCGCGTCACTT